TTTGCCTTCCACCTGGAACAGTTGTGCTGTAGCTAACTTTTGTGGCGATCAAGTGGGCAGACAAGGGGCTCAACAATCACAGAAGGTATTTGCACAGGTTCACAAAAGGCATTTCACGACCTGAGTTTTGAGAACTTCAAAGTCTTTTAGTGACAAGGTGACCGATGCAATTTCAGCGGTTCTTTAAGTCGACTTGAAGCTCGGTAGTGATGAGTGAATTTCTATTCACACCTGTTTGCGGGTTGAGAAGCGGTTTTTCGCTCGCATGTATGCCTTTTTTTGGAGTAATGATTTGAGCAACTTTCACCGATTGTTGAATCGCAAGCCTTTATCCAACATCTCTTCATCAGCCATTAGCTGACCGTAATCGCCTTCCTAGATCTTATCTCCAGAAGTTGTAATGCGAAATGCAATCGAGACACTGTTCCGTTCTCGTAATTCATTCCACCATTGTACCGATGTCATTGGCGGTCTAATTCCAGTCTCTTTATTTGCTTCCTTAGGTGTGATAACAGCTTTGGAAAGTCGCCAATTTTTATTAAAGTTCAATGAGATTGTTGGAATAAGAAGACGAAATCACTGTGTGGTGAGCATCTCACGTTATAGCATTCGGCTGTTTTTCATATTCCGTCATTTTTGTTGACATCTAGGTTCTCCCTCTCTCTCTCTCTCTCCTTTTCAGAGGGCCTATTTTCGCCACTCACTATCCTGACAACCAATATTGCACATTTTTCTCCATCCATCCACACAAACGCTTTCAGTTTTTTTATTTCTCAACAGTTCACATGCTTTGCGTCGTGACTTGTGGCAAATTGTCTCCGGTTTAAACAATTTTTTTTGTGTGATTTAGGTTTTGAGAAGGTCTCGAGTTCAAACTACTCAGTCGTAGAGTCATGGCCTGTGTTTTTGCCGTCTCTCACCAAAGCCATTAATGACAGTCTCTTTGAGGAGTTCAATATGAGGGGCATTATTGAACCTATTCCACTTCAGTTTTGGATTTTGGTTATATTGCAAATTGTGCTTCCATAAGACCACGTATGAAACAGAAGGGAACCTGACAGGATGAATTTAGATTACGATGGCAGGATCCCCGAGTTCAATAGGGTCAGGCTGTTCCATTCGCTCCTTGGTCGAGTAAGGAGAGTTGTGGACTGGACAATATTCTGTGGTACCCCAAAGACTTCCCTGAAGGACGGAAGAAGGCAGAATGTGTAATGGCGCATCAGGCCTTGGGGCTACTGACATGATCCAAAAGCCAGGTTGCACGGTGGAGGTGGTGCATTGGTGGAGGCCTGAAGTGGCCCGCTACCAAAACCGAGTTACATAGCCCTTCTCCTTTGAGCGTCGTCCCTGGTGCTCCCCTTGGTCAACCTCCCGCGTCAGCTATCACAGCGTAGTCGGTGCTGTGAGGAAACACCCGAGAGCCAACCGTGCCAGTTATTGAATTTTCGTGCAACTGAGAAGATACTTGACTGCAACATCACGGATCTCGCTTGTCATTTCTACTGGATCTGAGATTTCTTCCTGTTTGGAAACTGTATTTGCGAAGGAGGAAATGTGCTGGTTATCTCGTGTGTTTATCGCCAGTCGTAAGAACATTGGCCAAAAAGCAGTCACTTAAAAAGGGCGGGGTTCAAAATAACTCCATGGGGATAAGATTTCGTGTCTATTCCACCTTGCCGCTTTGTGCTCACTTCCGTGCTGACCAGGCATATCTGCATAGCCTCTGTCCAGCTGGTGGAGAAGTAGACGGGGGTATCGTGCGTTTACATGATTAATATCTTCATGCAGGCACAACGAACACTTCTGTAACGAACTTTTCCAGATGGTTCACGACTAGTGTCGTTTCACTTGTTAGTAGCATTCCTCCAGAATACGGAACTAAGGCAGTTGTTGAAGGTAGACGGCATTTTCAGGCCTTCTGTTAGGGGCCGGCACACCGTCCCGCCAAGATCTATCACCCAGCAGTGCAAATTAGGATATTTGTCCTTTAGGATTGGATTTGCTTTTCGCTGCCACTAATGTACCGCCCTTAGACTTCCCTGAAGCCTGAAAAAGGCATAATACTCGGGCGGAATGTGTATTATTGACGTGCAGAAGGGCTCAGGGGCTACTGGCATGACCCAGAGGCCAGGCCGTCCAGTGGAGGTACAATGGCGGAGCCCCCACATTGGCGCCTTATCAAAACCGAGAGGCATACAAATACTTAACGCACTGCAATTATATCTAATTCGTTCAATTTTATACTTCACATAATCTCGCTTTGTTTAACATCGTTTCGTTGCCTCCCTCTTCACTACTTAATGTCATACAAAGACGGCTGTCTGCATAGTCTACCTGGAAGTTTTTGAAGTGCATGTATGCATTAGTCCATTACCGCGCTAATGGATTGCTTTAGAGAGCATCGTATGATTTTTTCATAAGTATATTTGAGATACTTCTGCTCTCCAGGTGCTCCATATCCGCTGTATTTCTCTACGTGCCGTATTCATCCGGCTCCTCTATCAAAATTGTGCCCTTTTGATCCTCAAATCGAGATTTCAATGTGCAATCATGGTTGGCACATCACTGCGGAAACACAACAATTTTGCATTAATATATTCAAACCTTAGGTTTTACTGAATTAAATCCATTGATCCAGTGTGAATTTCACTAGTGAATGTTGACGGACCTCCTGGTATTTGTGAATCCACTGCTCCTGTCAATAATTTGCCCCAGCAATTCCTTCGACATGTGCGCACCGAAATGCTGTTCATTCGATTGAATCGCGTTGCCTATTGCAATAGCCATCGTAAAGGGGCAAAAAGAGTGGACAGTAGCGACAAGAGTGGTGGTGGTGTTAATTGCAGCTCCCACCATTATTATCCGTCACACGCACTCCCTACGAGCTGCAACAGTAGTAGCAGCATCAGCAAGTTGCTCTGCAGATCCGCACTGGCTCGCTAGCTTGTATGCTCGTTGGCTCTGCGCCAGAAAAAACGTCCCCTTCTCATCTCCCATTGGTGGAGGCAAGTGTATTTGTCAGTAGCAGAAGCGTCACATTCACTCACTCGGATCAACGTTTCTCCGTTTCCCTTTTCTCCTCCTCGTGT